AAAAAAAAAGAAGAGAAATTTTGACTTAAGAACCATAATTTATAAATGTTTCTAATTAAATAGTGCTAATTAACTAACTTCCATTGAAGACAAGAATGGAACATTCGTCCTAGATTCTCGTCGATTCATGGCGTGCGAAGCACAAACTCTCTTTCAAGGTAGCAGTTTAATGGCGCTAGTCGTGCAAGACATTTTCTTCGCTCTAATATATTTTGGTTCAATATGGCAAAAATGGCCAAGGCTCGTTCAATTATTTTCCTCTAATTTTTATTCCTTTCATTTTTAATTTTATTTTTTGATTATTTTTAATTATTTTAGTCTATGTGTCGAGACAAACTGGGCAAGTTTGGGGCCACATCACATCAGAGAATATGAATGAGATTCGATTGGGAGCCACGTTAGCTTTTCCGACAAAGATGAGAACCAAAATTTCGATATTGGACGAAAATTGCCAAAACAAAAATAACTGATCCCAAAACAAATAAAGAATAAAAGTGCAATTAAAGTAAATTAGTGAACTGCAATTAAAGTAAATCAGTGAACCAACGGTGAATTTTCTTTTTCTTATTTATCCATGCATCAAACGGAATTGTATCGTCACCCCAATATATTGTTGAACATGAGACTCGGAGAATTGCGAACCGTTTTGAAAACTGAACCCAAATAACTCTGAATTGAAAAACAACCGTCAATCATTTGACTTTCTCCGAACCGAGAAAATAATTTGCACATTTCTAGAGATTTCATAAATATTCGTACCGAGAACCGAATCGAACCGTCTAATACCATACCAAACCGGATAGCCGAAATTAAGAACCGTATCATATAATTAAATGTGTGCTATTAATATATTTATGTCCACTTTGATCCTATGTAATCTGAAATTTTTAAAATGCAAATAAAATATAGTAAAAACAATTAAACTTCACTTAAATTTCATGCTTAGTTAATAGTTGATCTACACTTGAATTTTTCTTGTTATCAATATGATGAAGTATTGACGAATATTGTTTTTTTAAAAGCATATAAAAATTAAAATATAACTAGGTAATTATTTATTTTTTTTAAAGTATGCCTGAACCGAACCACATCGAACCGTTCAGATAGTCCTGAATAGTAAAACCGAACCAAATAATAAAGTATCCAAACCGAACCATCCCCATTCTTTTGTACAGTTCCGGAGATCAAATTTAGTGACCTCTGAATTTTGGTACGTTTTCGGAGATTTCTCAATCTCTAAACAGTACCGACCCACACTCAACCCTTACCAACCCAATACAGTCCACCCGATCCGCCCGGCCCAATCCCGCACGTGGGTTTTAATATAATAGAGAGGACACGCGTAATCCCTCGAAAATCTGGGCACTGCTTTCGAACTAGGCTGAGGACACTTGTCCGGCAGCAGCCATGCACACAAGATTATCTCAAAACAAAAAGTTCCCTGTATGGGCCGCAGTTGAATTTTTGGGCCGTTTTATACACGCCCCCGGGCCCACATCTTTGACAACCCCCAACATCAACAATACTGTTTTGATAATTCCATTTAGTTTATACATGGAGCTGGATTTTGATCTATGCTTTGCTTTTTCTATCTTGGATAGTTGGATGAGCTTTTCTGGAGCTTGAATTAAAACATCATTGACCACTTGGTCGTATTTTGCCAAGTAAAAGGTTAAATTTTTATAATTTAAAGTGTGTGTGTGTGTGTTTTAAGTAATCATACGATTGTATTCATATCTGTTTGTATACTTGTGTAAGTGTTCTACAGGTGAAAGCTTCATTCTTTTGGCTGGAGTTTGTGATTGGTTATAGTGGGAAAATGCTAACGTCATTCCGTTGGGATCTGTAACTGTTAGATAATCATATAATCGTCAGAGAGAATCGCCCGTACGCCTCTGCCACCTCCGTGCATGCAGCTTACGCCCAGCGTGGTCCGCTCGGAGTTGATGTAACGGTTACAAACACTGATGGAATAGTTTCATAACGGGACCGTAGCATCTTCCATACAGTTAATCGGCTCCCTAATTAATTGCAGGTGCCTGCCAGAAGTCGTATCCTTCAATAACACCTCCAAGATTCTCACCTCCATGAAATATGGATTCCATAAATACAAACCAAGAACAAGAAGAACAACAACAGAAGCAGCTGGCGAATGAAGACAAGACGACTGTCATAGGCCGACAGCCATCCATATACTCGCTCACTCTAGACGACCTCCAAAACACCCTCAACGGTAGCGGCAAGAATTTCGGGTCCATGAACATGGATGAATTCCTCAACAGCATTTGGACTGCTGAGGAGGCTCAAACCCAGACCCAAGCCCAATCCCAAGCCCAATTTAGCTCTTATGTTCAGCCCACAAGCAACCCAGCACCGTTCCTGCTGAAGCAAGGCTCCCTAGCCCTGCCCGAGCCTCTGTTCGGGAAAACGGTGGATGAGGTCTGGTCCCATATCCACAAAGTCAACGAGGGCAGCCGTGCTGTGGAAGAGCCGGCCAATCGGCAGCCGACACTTGGCGAGATGACGCTGGAGGACTCCTTGGTCCGTGCTGGGATCGTGCGGCAGCAGAATAATAATGGTGAAGCTGTTAACTGTCAGCTTAGTGTGGGGCCCACTAACGTTGTGGCAGGAGTCGGGCCCCGGCCGCGCAGGGTTGAGCGGCGGAGGCAGAAGACTGATGGGCCCGCAGTCGAGAGGCGGCAAAGGAGAATGATGAAGAATCGGGAGTCGGCAGCGCGTTCTAGAGCAAGGAAGCAGGTATATGTGTGAAATGTGTTTGTTTATTATATTTAATTGAGTAAATTGTAATTTTAGTCCTGCATGTTTCACTACCCTATTTGTTTTCGTCCTATTCGAATTGCGTTTTTTATTTTTATCCGTATATTTGCAAAAATGTTACAAAAAGTATTTTTCGCAAGAAAAGGTCCTTTGTGTACGTCCTTTGTGTATTGCAGGTTTCAATTTCGTCCCTTATATATGAAAATGACTTTTTTGTAATATTTGTGCAAATACGGGACAAAAATAAAAAATAAATTCGAAGATGACGAAAAAGTTAGTGTGGTGAAACATACAAGACTAACATTGCAACTTTTTCTATTGAAAATTTATTTGTCGTATTTTGGCGGGAAATTATG